TGTCTAAAAGCACTCCATGCAAAGGCCCAATGGCCTATTCGTAATATTTGTATCCACCAAGGGCTGGAGAATATGATTGACCTCTCCTTACCTATAAAGAGGATGGCACCGCTGTCAGAAAAACCATTGCCAATATGGGGAGGAAAGATAAGCTTGAAAAAGGAATGTGAGGGAGAGTGCCCTTTCTTGATCCCTTGGCTCCTTTATATATTTGATGAGGTGAATCTTCTCTCCAGCCCTTAGTGAGTAGGCCTGCAGCGGCTGCAGCAAACAAACAAACACCAGCCTAACACTGTTCCCTATGCACCAGCTGCAGCTGCCAAAATATGTCCTTTTCACACACAAAAAAATCCTAAAAAAAGGTTCTTGGGCCTGTACATAGTGTTTTTTTTTTGCATGGGTTTCGTTCTAGCGTGGGCCTTTCCTCCAATAATAAGCCCTAGAATGACCGATCACCTTTTTGAATATGAAATTAATATGTTCATGATCCCACCATATAATAACCTTCTCTTTCCCCAGGGCAATTTAATTCTTTCTAATCTTGGGCTGGCAGAGAGAAGCGCGTGTACCATGCACCACTGAATGGTACTAGTAATCTACCTGGTGCTAGTAGACATCAGAAAGATGATTAAAAGACGTTGCGTCGCTTCTTTTGTAAACTGACAGGTGAGGAGCATTTAAAATGTAACTGTGTGCGTGTTTTATATTTGTAATGCGGCGCTTTTGTTTGTTTGAGGAGCCTGTTGAATACCCTCCTGGTACTAAAAAGGTGTACCCAATGCAGAGAGCTCCCCTTCTGTGTAAGGGGTCTAGGGAAGGGTGTTAGTGGTAAGTTTTACTCTCGTCTGTGCAATGCGAGGAGACCGCGACTCAAACCCGGAACCTTCCGGTCATAGGCGGTAAGACTCTACCGCTTACAAAAACATTAGCCGTTATAGTTTCATATGGTTCATGCCCTCCTATGAGGTCTTTCAAATTTCGAGCGCTGCTGTTTTCTTCACCAGATGACCAGATCTGCATCTTCTACTTGCTTTCCTACAGTTTTATTTGATGTGAACTGTGAAATCTAATTCAGAAACACTTGTTGATTGCGGTGGTCTGTCTTTGTACGCTTGTTTTTATTACTTATTACATAGTATTGTCATCTCTTAAACTGTCACACTTATTAAAGTATCTCAAGAACACAAGAACATTTGCTATCCCCTTCCTGTGAGAAACCCACTGCCCACACCCTTGCCAATTTTGTGTCGGGGTCTCGGGGCAGAGTGAAACACCCAAATAAATAGATATGTATTTTTTTTTGTCATTCTTTGCTATTAACATTTGATAATTTTTTCTTCTGTTATAATGCACGGGCAAATTTGATAGTAAATAAGAAAAGAGAATTTGGTCTTCATATACAGGCATCCTCAGTTCCAAGTTTCTCACTAGCTAAAGATGGAAATGGAAATTGGAGCTGATTCCGTAAAGTGTGTGTACAAGATATAGAGAAGATGTCCAATGATGATAAAAAATATAGAGAACGAGAGTGTGGGTTTAAGAAAACTTTGAGAAAGTTTTTTTTTTCTTTTTACTTGTGCGGGGTGGTAAGGCCCGCTAGGGTCATCCTAGGATTACGCAGGGTCGATATCTTTCTGCTCCACTAGCAGCAAGCTGTTCGCGTCCCTTTGGAGGACTCGTTCTAATCTTCCATATATCGATATTTTACAAAATAGATCTCCAAAGAATATAGTGATGGGATACGAGTGGCGAGCAAATGCAAGAACTGCACAGAACCTTGGCATATGTGTCATCAATCCTTTGATGGCATTGCACCGTACCGTACCACCAATTTTGGATCACCCGTTAGGAATTGATTCGTGGCAACAGAACAAGACAAAAGCTTTGCAAGAAATTCTCTCCTGTGCCAGTGTTGCTACGGAACATGCATGGCTCGTTTATCCCGGAGCAGAAAACCTGAGGGCGGTCCCACTAGAAAACACTATGTAATAGTAGTGTCCATGATAATGCCATGTCATATAGACATTAGCTGAGAAAATATGGTTCAATGTACAATGCTAATTATTCCTAACAAATAAACTTTTGCGACTATTTTTTCCTCCTCTTATATCCTCCAACTATAGTCAGACATTATTCTAGTTAAATTTTCACCTCACTCAAATTATATGTAAATAACATTCCAATTCAGTGGGTGATCAAATTTTTGAATCGATCCAATGACCCAGAAATAATTAGAACTTATATTCCTAGTGGCCACAATTTTCTTTTGGTTAGGATTTTCCACTCACGCTCGTCTGCGCTCAGCATCTTTATACTGACTCTGACTAGGTTGCTCAGCATGTTTTACCAACACTATGTACTCATTATTTTCAACATCTTGTGCTTTCTATTCTATACTAACCAGGACGAGAAGGTGTCAAATTCATTAAATAAAGAAAAGATTAAACAGGGGTCCCCCAGGAGCAAAAAGTAAAAAAACTCTGGAGGAGGTAATAACTAATAAGATGGCTTGCACCTGCAAGAAGAACCCAAGTTATATATACCTTGTTCCTTTCCTTAATATACAGAGAGTTCCTAAAGGACAAAAACAGCGACGAGAGAAGAATGAATGAGAGCCAATTAAAATTCTTATCTAAGAACTTGGCTTTATCCTAATCTTCACCAAATCTCCTCTCCTCTAGCAAACTCAAGCCCCTGTACTCATGACAAGGCTATATGGCATAGAGATAGTGCTAGGAAAGCCCAAATGGCCAAGCGGAAGTAAAGAAAAGTCAGGAAAACACCTTGAAAACACAAGAAGATGATTTTCACCTCTCGAGGTGCGAAAGTTCCACGCAACCTGTTTTCAGCACAAAGAATCGAGCAAGAAAATCATCTTCCTTAGGACATTGTGAAGTCCTAATGAAAATCATGAGTTGAAAATCACACAGACTATTTCCACACAGATTGGGAGGAGAAGAACAAGTGAAGCATGAATTTGATCTCTTGATTACAATGAATGATTACAAGTCACTCCTAGTAGATCTCAAAACTTAGATGACAAAAATCTTAATCAAAGATCCACTCGTCTCTCCCTCTCTTTCTAGCCGTAAACTAAAGTCTCATCAACCTAACAAATGAGAGTTTAATACCCAAGGCTTCCAAAGACTTAGTCTCCACAACCAGCCATCTCTCATATATGTCCCCCCAAGTTGCCCTTACATGAAGCACTTAGCCCAAATACCCATTAGGGATAATTAAAACCATCCAAGTTTCTCTTCATCGACCCGACGAGTCCAACGCCTTCTCCACTTTGCTTGGCGTCAATGCAAGCTTCGAGATGCCACCACGTGTCCACCGATCCACCACTCCATGATTTTGAGGCTCAAACTAGTTAAACCCACCGTTGATGATTTTGAGACCGAAACCACCAAACCATTCACTCCTGGTTTTGAGGCCCAAACCAACAAACCTCCTCCTGATGGTTTTGAGGTCCAAGCCACCAAACCACCCATCCGCGGTTTTGAGGACCAAACCGATAAACCCTCGTGCACACCTCGCCAAGCATGACTAACTAATGTTGATGCGTCTCTGACCTCCATGTCCTCGGCCCAACGGCGGTCCACCAAGTGCTCGCGACACCTCGCCATGACTTGGTCCAACCCTATCCTTGACTCAGTTGACGTCGTCTCCATCACCCATGCACTCTTGCTCTTCTTTGTGCCCAATGTGAGCCGCACATGGTCCGTTCTCCAGTATCTAGTCCCTCAGTCCAAGCCTTCTCGTCCGTCCTTCGCCGTTCTTGGTCCATTGCGTACAGACTTTGCACTTGCATTGACCTTCTCCATTGCCATCGACCGCCTTGGCACACCCAACACCTGCACATTCACAAGCCAAGAGACATGTTACACAACACAAACGACACAACTTATCATGATACCTTCGGTTAGCCATTAGCATAGTCAAGCACATTTGAAATATGGCTCAACCGGGAAAGCCTCAAACCTCTCAACTCTTGTATCAATCATTCATCACACAAACATGGGCACATCTCCACAATGTGTTCACAGTTCCTTGAGTTGGAAGAAGATTTATTTTGGTAAAGTAAAGTAAAGTAGGGCCTCATCACCTTGTTAAAGAGACTTGGCACTATAAATAACACATACAATATATATCATTGTTTGGCAGTTGCTTTTTGTTTAGGTTGCTGCTAGTTAATACTGGTGACCTCGACGCGCGCAGAGAGCACTAGAGATTCACTACTACAAGAATGGTTTCTAGGGGCGGCTAGTAATTTTTTGAGCCATACTGAATTAGTTGCATCAATGGATATGCACATAGTGCACTAGCGTTGTATTGCGTGATCATTGCGTTGAGCACAATCAACATGATGATAAGTAAAACAATGATAAACCTTGGATTCGCACCACTCTCTCGTTTGCTCGCTCTCTCACTCTCCCCCGTCGTGTATAAATAGCACAATTCTGGTCGCTCCATACACAACAATGCAAATAAATCAAAACGCAACGGTCCATAGAAACTAAGCACAGAGATATAGCGCCAACAAATTAAATGGGTCCTTTGCACGTCCCTAGAAGTAGTAGTCCTCGCAAGTTTTACCACCTTCTGCTCTTCCATGTGCACCCGTTCTGGGTGCAACTCTTGTACTTCCTTTCCATCTCCGTCTTGGGTTTCTTGATGCTGAAAGCTCTGCCCATGAAGTCCGCCTCCCTCCCTAGGCCCTCGGCTCTCGACCTGGTCTTCACGTCCGTGTCGGCGACGACAGTCTCCAGCATGGTCGCCGTCGAGATGGAATCCTTCTCCAACTCCCAGCTCCTCCTCATGACCCTCCTGATGCTCCTCGGGGCGAGGTGTTCACAAGCATGCTTGGTCTCCACTTCACCTGCACCAAGCTCATCAAGAAGAGAGAAACACCTCATAGTAACAATAGGCTCCATGGTAATATTAATGGACCGCCGCCGGCATCTAGTAGCTTAGAGCACAGTCGCCCTCGCCGTCCCATGGAAATGGAAGCCGGCCAGGCCGCCGTCCAAATGGAGCTAGCAGGGTTCAACGAGAACGACCAACGTGATTTCGCATCCATGGCTAGGCTGCTAATGTTCATCGTGTTGGGCTACCTCTTGGTGGTGCACCTCGCCGGCTACACGTTCATTCTAATCTACCTCGGCGTGGTCGGCGGCGCGAGAGCAGTGCTGGTTGGCAAGAGGATCAGCCTGAGCACCTTCTCCGTCTTCACGGTCGTCTCGACGTTCGCGAACTGTGGGTTCGTGCCAACGAACGAGGGGATGGTGTCCTTCAAGTCCTTCCCGGGCATGCTCCTCCTCGTCATGCCGCACATCCTCCTCGGGAACACGCTCTTCCCCGTCTTCCTCAGGCTCTCCATTACAGCGCTCGAGAGGGTCACCAGGAGGCGAGACCTCCGCGAGCTGCTGAAGGACGGAGGACCCGGCGGCGGCGGACCAGCTGCCGCCGCTATAGGCTACGACCACCTGCTGCCCGGAGCCCGCACATGGTTCCTGGCTCTCACCGTGGCGGTGTTCCTGGCGGTGCAGCTGCTGCTCTACTGCGCCATGGAGTGGGGCTCCGATGGGCTTCGTGGGCTCACCGCGTTCCAGAAGCTCGTTGCGGCGCTCTTCATGTCCGTCAACTCCAGGCACTCCGGCGAGATGGTCGTCGACCTCGCCACCGTGTCGTCCACCATCGTCGTGCTCTATGTGCTCATGATGTAAGTAAAGTACGTAAATAAATACATCGATCGATATTCGATATATAGAAGATCCAAGATCGTCGGTAGTGTTAATTAGGAAGTTTTGTGCACTACATTTATTATATTATATTTATACATATGACATCAGGCACTGCTATCTAGTTCATGCATAGTTAGTTGCACATGTGCTCATGGTCCACCAACACGTCCAAATATCGATTTGTTATAATATAGTTTGATCACGTTCCAACAATATGTATTGATATTACTACTAATACTAAATGATATAGCCTTACTTGAAACTTACCATCGTGTGATGCGTATGACTATATAATCATGACACATGATGTTTAAGCAGTGTTTTAAATAGCCAGCTAAGGCATTTAACTATCTATGTCCCAAAACAGGCTATAGCAGAGCTATAGCGGTAGCTAAGAGCTAAATTATACATGAGAAAACTTAGCTAAATCCTTCTCAAACAGCTATAGCCGGAGATTTAAAACCTTGTGTTTAAGCTAGCAAGCATACAAACTATTACTAGTTTTTTTTTTCTTTAAATAATTTTACTCGGTTATGCTCATGCTTTACTCCCTCTGCAGGTATCTACCGCCTTACACCACATTTTTACCCGTAGCGATGGAAGACCAGCAGCAGCAGCAAAATGAGGCACAACCCGACGACAAGAGCAAGAGCAGCAGCAGTATTAGCATCTGGCAGAAGCTGCTCATGTCGCCGCTCTCGTGCCTAACCATCTTCATCGTCGTCGTCTGCATCACCGAGCGGCGGCAGATTGCTCACGACCCAATCAACTTCAGCGTCCTCAACATCGTCGTCGAAGTCATCAGGTGTTTATTAATTAATCAATTAACTCCAAGCGCAATAGATGATCTCTTGCACTGCACTGGGCTCACAATGAAGCAATGCAACATGGTGATGCGTGCAGTGCGTATGGCAACGTGGGATTCAGCACCGGGTACAGCTGCAGCAGGCAGGTGACGCCCGACGGCAGCTGCAGGGACGCGTGGGTTGGCTTCTCCGGCAAGTGGAGCAGGGAAGGGAAGCTCACGCTCATGGCCGTCATGTTCTACGGCAGGCTCAAGAAGTTCAGCATGCATGGGGGTCAGGCATGGAAGCTGGGCTAAATCAAAGTACTGCTTCGAAACTCGATCTACTCGTTATATTGTTGCACATTTCTCTATAGATAGTAGCTAGATCAACCTGATCTCCAAGACTAGTACTTGAACTCAGATGGAATCAGATCATATGACAAATCCATCTGCGAGACGTTTGGCTGTATTATGTCTAACATAAGAAATGGATCACATCAATGAGTCCATCGTAATCTTATACTCTTATAAAGCAAAACCCCATTACCATATTTCTCTGCGATTTCGTGAAGCCACGTCATCGAAGGGTCCACAAGTCACTAAAGCAATCCCATAGCGATCCACGTCATCACTTAGTTTGCACCATGCAATTCTTAGTCTCATATAAAGCAGCCATCTCTTCGACTCCCTCACTCAATGTCCACAACCGACGCATTACATGACGGACTGTGCACCAAACGAACAGCCAGACATTATTATTTCCACATCGATTCCTCTCCTACATCAATGCAAATACATGTGTAGTGAGAACTTGAACCATCCGTTGCTACCTTCACGTTTAAATAGCTGTGTGTACGCATCTTCGTTACCAGCTCCGGCTCTCTGTTTCCTGTCCTCTGATCTCCCTCTATCTAATCCACTTCCTCCACCCCACAACACCACCTGGCAGCCTTTAAATTTGAATCATCTATCGAATCAGCCCGTAGGATAGTAAGAAAATGTTCTCTCTGTTTCCTCCTCCTCGATTCGATTCATCGATTACACGTGGACCCGTCTCCATTGACAGCGGCGAGCTGCAGAAGCGCTCGACGATGTTACAACTGCAGTGATCTCATTTGGGGGAACCGCTCCCGCTCTCCCACTCCTGGGAACCGCATGGACGCTCCTCTCTCTCCCTCTATTCGAACAGTCGGCGCCATGGAGCAGTTGCCTCCGTGCATGCCCATGGCATCCGTACGGCATGTATATATATGCATATCAAAGATCAATGAATTACAACTGGTTCACTGGCCATTCCATTGTGTTCCATTTACATCCTAGTTTTCACACGTTATCAGCACGCTACGCTCACGATCTGCGCTCTCGAGAGGGAGTTCAGAAGGAGGAAACAAAGGCCGGCGAGATCGAGTTCGTGAAGATCCAAAGGTACCATGCCTCCAATGCGCTACGTACCTCCGGCGATTCTAGTCGTCGATCTCGTCTTCTTGATTCTCCACCGTGCCATCAACATGAACATCCCGTTCAACCACCACTACATCCGCGACGAACTCCTCGAAATGTTCCGCTACCTCCTTGGCGAATGCCGGGGAAGGGGGAGAGGACGGGGACTTCGGATGTGCGTGGGTGGTCATGGTGGTCGTTGTCGTGCCGTCGATGCTCCAGTGGCCCCTGCGCCACCGCCGGCACCCGTCTGCCCCGAGCACGGACTGGGACCGTGTCTGCCATGGTTGCCACGTTACTGCGTCGAACATGGCTACGGCCCCTGCCCGCTTCGCGCGCCTCCAGCCCCTCTGCCCCGGATGTCGCTGGCCCCTCTAACTCGGCCGGCCCCGTGGTGATGGACGTCGAGCCGGTGCTCCCGATGCCGACTTCGTCCCTCACTGTGGCGGGCTTGAGGAGACGGAGCCGCTCTCCACCAACAATCGTGGCCCGACGCTCCGCCCCATCGCGTCTGAAAGCATCTAGGCCCCTAATTGGGTTTCGGTGATTAATGACAAAGTTAGATTACTGTGACTAACGTGTGTTTTGCAGAGTCAATTAAGTTAGGTCACGGTAATGAAGATCGATTGGGCAATCATGGTTGTCATGCCCCTACGATGAAAATCGTTTCGGTTTTCAAAGGATGGACGACAAGATTAAGGATGACTAGTTCTAAGTGTCGATTGAAGTTAAAGAGACACTTAGAGTAGTTTATGACTTTGTTTTTCCTTTGGCCGTACTATTAAGGGGGTATGGATGGGTAGTTTGACCTAGATGAGTCTAGTGAGTTAGGTGTGGTGCACACTTGTTGAAACTAGCGCTAGGTAGCTCCTACATATGCCTAAGATCCAATGGAGCAAACTTCATTCACGTATGATCGAGAGTTGGAAGTGAATGGAGGGTCAAATACTGACCGGACACTGGCTCCGGTGCGACCGGACGCTGGCCACAGGGTCCGGTCAGTTCATTTAACCAAGGAGATTGCGTCTGGTGCGATCGGACGCTGAGTGGTCAAGTGACCGGACGCTGAGAGGCAGCGTCCGGTCGACTCCAGTAAGGTTCCAGAAGAGTGAATCTGCGACCGGACGCGTCCGGTCAGTGCTGACCGGACCCTGAGGATCCAGCGTCCGGTCGAGTACAGTAAGCATCCAGTGAGGGAAAAATGGGACCGGACGCATCCGGTCAGTGGTGACCGGACCCTGCCAGCGTCCGATCAACACGTAAATACTAGTGTGCGGGTTGAAGTGACCGGAGCATCCGGTCACCCCGTAGAGGCACATAACGGTTCATTTTTCAGCCCCTGTTATAAATAGAAGCTCCACTCGTGTGTGGAGTGATTTTTGCTCATTTCAACAGCTGAAACACACCTTAGAAAGTGCCAAGAAGAGGAATGTCCTAGTGAGGTGATTGAGATTTGAGAATCCAAAGAGAGCCCTCATTAGTGAAGATCAAGAGTAGCAAAGTGTGCATCCACCCTTCTCCCTAGGCTTGTCGTGGTCAAGTGAGAGTTCGTGCTTGTTACTCTTGGTGATCGCCATCACCTAGACGGCTTGGTGATGATTGGGAGCTTGGTGATCATCTGGAGAGCTTGTGGATGACCCAACTCAAGTTGTGAGCGGTTGTGGGTGATTCACCGCGACGGAGTGTCGAAGAATCAACCCGTAGAGAGCACTTGATCCTTACGCGGATCAAGGGGGAGCTACACCCTTGCGCGGGTGCTCCAACGAGGACTAGTGGGGAGTGGTGACTCTCCGATACCTCGGCAAAACATCACCACGTTTCGTCTCCTCTCTTTACTTTGAGCATTTACTTTGAGCATTTCAATTCTTGTCATTTACATTCCTAGAATTGCCATGCTAGAGTAGGATTGAAACTAGGTTGCTGAACTTTTGTGCGCTAGATCAATAGAAACACTTCTCTAGACACAAGGGGTTAATTGGGCTAACCATATGACTTGTTTATTGAAAGAAATTTAGAATTAACCCAATTCACCCCCCCTCTTGGGCATCTTGATCCTTTCAATTGGTATCAGAGCCTTGTGCTCACGTTTTTAAGCTTAATCGCTTAGAGCAAGATGTCTCATAGGGATGGACCTCCTCCTATCTTCGAGGGGGATGATTTTTCATATTGGAAAATTCGCATGGAGGCGTACCTAGAAGCTCTAGACGTTGGAATACTTAGAGCCGCCTCTCATGGGTTCCCAAAACCTAGGAATCCCGCACAACTTCAAGGCGATGAAGTGAACTATGAAAAATGGAATGCAAAGGCTCGCAACACCATCTTTAGAGGCATTTGCAAAGATGTGTTCAACCGCGTAAGGAACCACAAAGACGCCCATGCACTATGGTCAGACGTTTGTGCGCTCCATGAGGGAACAAAGAGTAAGCGTGAGGAACGCTATCATCTTGTCATGAAAAAGCTCAACTCTTTTGAAATGCTTCCTAAAGAATATGCTAATGAAATGTATTCACGTTTGAATATTCTTGTAGAGGAAGTCAATGGGCTTGGACTTACTCAAATGTCACCATCCGATGTTGTGAGAAAGATCTTGAGTGTCCTTCCCATTGACAAATATGGGCATATTGTGACCGTGCTACATCAAGGTGATCTTTCCACCGCTACACCAACACAAATCTTGGGGAAGATCAATGCTCATGAAATGTACATGCACATCACACCTCAAGATGGCTCATCCTCTACTAAGAAGAAAGAAAAAGATTTAGCATTCAAAGCTAGTCAAGATAAGGGCAAAGCAAGACTTGAGTATGAGAGTTCTAGTGATGAAGAAGATGAAGATGAAGATCTTGCTCTCATGGTGAAGAAAGCCGCCAAGATGCTAAAGAAGCTAAACAAGAGTGGTATGAAGTTCGATGGCAAGAAGAAGAAGTTCTTCACAAGCTCTAGGAGAAAGCCAATCTCCGAAATGGATTGCTTCAATTGTGGTGAACTTGGTCATCTAGCACACCAATGCACCAAGTCCAAGAAAGACAAGTTCAAGAACAAGTTCAAGGGCAAGAAAGATGACTCAAGCAATGAAGAAGAAAATAAAAAGAAGAAGAACAAGCCATACAAGAAGAGAGATGGCAAGAAGAGAGACTTCCACAAGAAGAAGAAGAGTGGAAAGGCCTACATTATCGGTGATTGGCTCATAGACATTGATTCATCTAGTGGATCATCCGATGATGATAGTGACGATGAGAAGGTGGTCGCCATAGCTATTGGTCTCTCATCTTCACCGCCATCACCGCCATCATCCTCTACACACATATGCCTTATGGCCAAGGGTGAACGCAAGGTTACTAATAATGATGATAGTAGTGATGATGAGCAAGCTAGTGATGATGATAGCGATAGCGATAATGATGATTCACCTTCATATGATGATCTTGTTAAAATTCTAAGAAAATACACTAAGATCATTAGAAAGAGTAGAGCTAAAATTGAAAAACTAGATGCTAAGAATGATTCACTTTTAGCAAAATATGATACAATAGAAAAGGCTAATGTTGAGCTTAGAGAAGCAAACGATGCTATGCCATCCAAACTCAAGGAGCTAAAATCTTCTAAGAAAGAGCTTAAAGATAAACATGATAAACTTGAGTGGGTGCACAATGAGCTCATCACTAGCCACAACAAGCTAAAAGATGAATATACTACTCTTAAGATTAATCATGATAATCTTGCTATTGCTCAAGAATTTATATCCAATGAGCCGCATGATGCTACTAACCATGTTGTTAAGATTGATATAGCTACATCATGTGATGGCTTGATCATTGAGAGCATTGAGCAAGGTTCTAGTATCAAGGACATGCAAGTGGTTGAGTGCAATGACT